TTCAGAGAGACAGAGAAAGAGCTCCTATATGTGCACTCACTCACGCATTCACTTCTCTCTCTCTCTCTCTCACACACACACACACACACACACACACACACACACACACACACACACACACACACACCTTTTATCCCTCTAAAAGCAAAGTAGAACATGACAGCACTATGTGGTCTTATCCTCTCTGGTGCTGGGCAATGCTAAGCAGGAGCAGTGCGCATGGCTCCCAGCACACCCTGCAGTCACAGGGGAGACGGCTGAGCTACACAGCAGCCCGTGCTAGGCTGGGGTGTGCTGCAGGGCGCGTGTGTTAAACACATTTTCCACACACAGTATTTTCAATTTATGATGGGTTTCTTGGGCTGTAACCCCGTCGTAAATCATGCCACATCTATACATCTACATGCATGGGCTAAGTACACTGCTTTCTCTTTGATAAAATTTTCACAAAGGATCAAGGAATTACTCTATTGTCTCACAATTTTCATTTCTACTGTGATTTTTCACTTTTCTTTGGAAGAGGCAAAAAGATTGCCAAGTATATAGAGATTTTCCTGTATTCTGCTTAGAACAAGTGGGGTTTTCATTACTGGGTCAAGAGCAGGAGGAATTGTTATTACTGTTGGACTTCTCCATTCCTGCTGTTCTTTATCCCTCATGGCGTGGAGATCCTGAAGGCAGGACCCACCCACCCACCTCCACATTCAGTGGACGATTCAAGGCTCTCTACCGACCGCCCCTGCACAGCGGTGTGGCTGGTCCCACCCTCCCTCTCTGTGGCCCCCTTTCCTCACACTCTCTCCTCCCGCCTTCTTCCTCTGTGGCAAAGTCGAGAGGATATGGGTTTGCAGACCTGGTGTGAGGTTCCCCTGTTGAGTCAGACACCTGGTCAGCCGCACAAGCAGGCGGCACAGGCTTGGGTGTCACTCCCTCCTGCCAGCCTTGCTTGCTGCAGAAGGATATATGTTCAGGAAACTCGGCCAGAAAGCAATCCAGTGAAAATGAGCTATGAAACTTGGACATCCTGGAGAAATAATATTTACAGAGGAAACTCCTGAGACGAACTGAACTCTCTCAGCAGAGTGGCAGCTCAGGCTGTTGGCTGAAGTCCCGCGAGGGGCCAGCCTCTACACGGCCACCACAGGACTTCACCAGAGCCAGCTCCACCTGACTTAAGCGCCATGGCAAGGCCAGAGGAATGGGGGCAGCCGAACACAAGTCAAACAGGTAACGAAAGCCCTTTTAACACCTAGGAGGACCTGCCCTCAAAGACAGCACCTTCCAGGTAGTGGGGAGGAGCAGACGGCAGGTCGGAAGAGGAGGTGCCTGTCTCCCTGTGTGGCTACCAACCTGGTGTGAAAGAAAGGGAAAAGCATGACTCCTAAGGCACTCAAGCCTGCGCTCTGGTCAGGATTTTCTTTTACTAAGCACAGCCTTGAGCGCAATGTGCTTTCACGCAATTTAGCCCCTGGCCTGTAGGAGGCAGCAACCGCCACCTCCCACCAGGGACCACGATGAGGAACAGACATCACAGCAGCTCAGAAAGATGGCAAGTACTGACCACCTCCCTGGCATCTGGTCACGGGAGCCTCACAACAATTCACAATGAATAAGGAAACAGATACACAATTAGCCCTGGCATCACTCAGCAGCCAACAGGCAGCCGAGGCAGAATTGTGACCCCGTGCGGTCTAACCCAGGAGCCCTCCTGTTTAATTCTTCACTACTGAGACCAAGACAGAAACGAGCAAGATACCTGGCTCATTGTGGGTGGCCAAGGAATAGCTCCCTCTTTCCCACGAGCTTTCTTAGTACACAGGATTATGCTGAGAAATGGATGGAAAAATACATGTGACAGTTCCCTGAAAACGATCAAGTCCAGTGGAAATATAGATTGTGGCGGGGGAAAAAACATCTTTATGGAGATGTAATTCACATATAATTCATCCACTTAATGTGCACGGCTCTGTGGGTTTTGTAGAGTTGTGCCAACCCCTCCCCCGCAAATAAAAAAGAAACACTTCATTGTTGAATGAGAATTTCTCCCTGTCAAATTGGAGAAATCTCCAATTTCTCCCTCCCCCTCCAGGACTCATTCATATCATAACATGTGTTTTGCTCCTATTTCTGTTCAAATAACATCCAATGGTGTATAGCACTGCTATTAACTGTTCCCTTTAGTTCTGCTAACATCTTTAGAGAGACAGAAGCCAAACGCCTCCCTTTTGACTGATGAGGAGGCTGGGCTGGAGAGAAGCTGAGTAGCCTCCCCGAGGTCATCCAACTAGTTGGAAGCACATCCCAGCTTCGAGCCTTAGAGCTCCAACTCAGCCTCCAACCTTCCTCACCCTACATAGCATTACTGGAAATAATTCAAAATGCACAGCTTACTGGTGACCAAGCAGCAGAATCACCCCCTATACCATTATTCGTTGAACACATTTATATTGACTTTCCCCTTTGTACATCCTAAAATATTCAACAAACACACCGTCACAGTCCCTTGTGCACAGTGATGGGACTCAAGCAGGAATGGCTCAAGCAAGATCCAGCCTCTCTTCTCTGGTTGCACATTCTACTGGGGAGGCAGACATAAAGGAGAAAATTCTTACACAATAAAACAACTCCATATTCAGGGCCAGGGAAGAAACAAACAAGGGACTGGAAAAGAGTGATGTAGGAAGTAGGGTGGCAGGAACGGGGTAATGGACTGAGGGTAAAAGGACCCACTGCACAGAGAATTTGAGAAAGGCCTCTCTGAGAAAGATAGCTAGGTAAGGACGAGGAGATCTACCTTGTATCTATCTGCAGGAATAAGCTGCAAGAAAGAAGATACAGCATATGCAAAGATCAAGGGGGTGGTAAAAAGTTTAGCATGTTGAAGGAGCAGAACTGGTATGTCCGCATTACCAAGTGCACATATGGTGGGATTGGATGCTGGAAAGAGCTGGGGGCCTGCTGTCTCGGGCCTGCACTCCCAGAGCTAACCAAAGAGAGGAGGACCCATGGGAAACCAGATGAAAGACTTCCAGTTCCCTTCCTGTGAATTACATAAACTCCAGTTTGCCACAGGAAGCTACAGAAGTCCTAAGTTTACATAGCAAAGACTTTCAAGGACAAGAGAACTGCATCTTCAGGGAGGGAGAGAGGGAGAGAGACCTAGTTCTGTGTGTCCCTGGGGATGAATTAGAAAATAAGGAAAATGAAGGTAAGGAGAAAATACAGGTGTATAAAGAGGGACTCTGGTATAGCTACAGGACTGGCAAGGGAATAGAGTGAACTCTTCACAGTCACTAGCTGAAAAAGATTTGCATGGGATTGTAAAGGTGTAAACAGAGAGATATAGAATTGCAAAATGTGTTTGAAGTACTTTAGCTGTTATGAGGACAACGACGGTGACATGGATGCCATGTGCTCCACCACCTAGGCATGCATCCATGTGGCTTCCCTGCCATGGGAGCAGGAATAGGCACAAGTGGAAGAAGGGCCGGACCTTGTCTGGGCTGCAGGCTCAGCTCCAACAGTTGCAAGATGGAAAAACAGAGAAGGTGGGAGGGTGGGTTATCAGTCTCCCCAGAGTGCTTCCAGGTTTTACACACATAAATCTACTTCCTATTCAAATAAATTGCATTAAATAAAAAACCCTTCCTCCTGTCCCCTGCTCATAAAAGGCTGTGAGGTGTCTAGAACTGATCACCAAGGCTCAGCACGCAAGCCCCTCTCATCTCTGGACATCTAAGGAAGTCCCCTGTCCAACTAGGAAACTACTGGGCAGCCACAGCTTCCTAGTCACTAATGAGAGTTGTGACACACTCGTCACCAAGAAAATTGTCCAAAAGACCCTAGAATTCATTCTGATTCCCAAATGGAACATCAAGGCACCTTATCCCTGGCTTCCAGTTTCCTGTTGCATCACCTGATGTCCTCTGGGGCATCAAATTGTCCCATCAGGAACCAGTGTTCTCATCACTTTGTTTCCAACATTCAGCTTCGTTCTCACAGTCAGAAACTGGGGCTTCCCCATCTGCTTGTATCCAAGCTGGGTCACCATAGATGTTGAAGGTTGAATGAACTTGACGGTGGCGGGAGAGCCTGGGATTTAACACGTGGCAACCAATTCTAACTTCCTGGGAATTTTTGTCTGGGAAAGGAGTGATTTTTTTTAAAAGATTTATTTATTTTTATTACAAAGTCACATATACAGAGTGGAGGAGATACTGAGAGAAAGATCCTCTGTGCGATGATTCACTCCCCAAGTGAGTACAACGGCCAGTGCTGTGCCGATCCGAAGCCAGGAGCTAGGAACTCCCTCCAGGTCTCCCACACGGTTGCAGGCTCCCAAGGCTTTGGGTCATCTTCAACTGCTTTCCCAGGCCACAAGCAGGGAGCTGGATGGGAAGTGGAGCTGCCAGGATTAGAACCAGCACCCATATGGGCTCCCGGCATGTTCAAGGTGAGGACCTTAGCCACTAGGCCATGACGCTGGGCCCAGAAAGGAGTGATCTAAGACAATCTGTGGATGAATTGCTCTCATGCCTAGAAGATATAGCTATGACAAGCCCCCCCCCCAACCCCGACTCCCATGGGAGGTTGGTTACTACTCTACAGCACCCTATGATTGCTGGGATGGTGTTGATACCCCCCACTAAGCAAAGGTCACTTCCTCCTGTGATTGTTTCCTTCTGGGCAACAGAGAGAGAGCAAGGCCCCGTGAAGGTGACTGGGGTTGTTTCGTAACCAGTGGAGGGGTTGACAGGGAAGCAAGTATGTCATCTGTCTCTCTCCTCCTTCCCTCTAGAACAGAATTCTGCCTGGACAGCTTGCTTTGGAGGGCAAAGAAAAAGGAACTGTATTTCTGTGTTTGGATTAATTTGAGGCTCATCCTTGAGGGCACTGGGAATGAATGAGCAGAATTTTCCGTGGCCAACTGTCCTTGCTGCCAGCCCTATCGGCAAACGCGTAGTGTTTATTTACTTGTGCTTGTGTTATTTCTATTCCAGTTCAGCTGCAGCTGAGTGCGGAAAGCGTGGGGGAGGTGTTTATAAAGAGTACGGAGACTGGCCAGTACTTGGCTATGGACACCGATGGCCTTTTATATGGCTCGGTAAGTATGAGGCTGACATGCATCCAGACGTGGCCAAAGTCTGAGGTTTCCAGAAATCTTGTAACACTGAGTGATACAGACTGTGAAGCATCAATTAGCTTCTGTTGATTTTTCCAGTAGGATTCCCACCCTCTACCCTGCCTTATTTTAGACACAAACATAAAAGAGTTTCATGTGGTATTCTCTGAAAATACTCAAGTGTAGTATCATACAGGCCCAGAGCAAACATCAATTGATGTTTTGGCAACTCATCAGTTGCTCTATTCAGAATCCCAAATTCCATTTCATTTGTTGCTTCTGAAAATGGTAACTGAGCACTTACTATATGTATCAGAGTATTTCTAAGTGATAGTTACAAAAAAAAAAAAAGGCAAAGCCCAGGTTTTGTCGTTTATATGTCATTCATAAAGCTTTAAAAATAATCCCTTTTATTCTGGATCACCTCAAAGGATGACAAACTTAATAACTTAATGGAACATTTGTCAAACCTGCCCTGGGTCCTAAAAAATGAATGAGCCAGGTTGAGAAGTGTGGTCTAATTGCTGACTCAGTAGCTAAAATCCTCTCCATCTCCTGCCTCTCCCCTCACAGTTCATGATTAATGGAGGTTGGAGTCAGTGGTCATTGTGAGAAAAGAAGAAAAGCACAAGCAATTTTATTTCTGCCCCTGTTGGTGTCTCTACTAAGATTTCATCTAGAGAGAGAGAGCTGAGATCCATGACCGTAGGTTTAAATACCATTTCTGAATTTAAAAGTTTTATTTTATTTTATTTGAGAAGCACAGACAGAGAAAGGGAATCTTCATCCACTGGTTCACTCCCCAGATATGTGCAATAGCCAAGGTGGGTGGCACAAACCCAGGTACTTAAGCCATCACCTGGGCTATCCAGAGTTCTCACAAGCAGGAAACTAGACTAGGGAATGGAGCCAGGACAGACACCCAGACACCAGGATACGGGATGCAGGCTTCCCAAGCACATCTTAATCACTAGGACAATGATTTCTTTGTCTATCCTGACAACTTTGACTATAACTCATGATCCAGTTTAAATCCCTTCCTTCCCTTTCATGGAAAAATTTTCATGGGAAATTACAAAACAGTGCCTGTACAGGATAATAGTCTGGGCCTTCCTTTGACTTGGAACAAATCACCAGGTGACAGTGGTCCTGGAAACCCTACGCTGTGATTGCACTTCACTTTTCTCACACTGCCCACTAGGGGTCAGGAGATGAAGTGTTCTGAGCGACAAGTTAGTCTTTGCTTCCTGAAAAGTCAGCCTGACAACTCTAACCTACTGGCAGCAGAGGCGCTGGCCGCTATTTAGGGAGTGCATTTCATAGAAAGTTGTTCTAGCTATTACCAAAATTAACCAGTCAATCTCAGGCTTATAACTGCACTCAAGCCTTTGCCACCTTGTCAACTTGCTTGTCTGCTCAAACCCTTGTCTGAAACGAGGACTAAGGGCTGGTTAGTGCATCATACAGGCAACAGACTAAATACACAGAACCCCTCAGATGGGCCAGCACCCCAATGTGCTGTATCCATAGCAGCTGTAAGATATATAATTGCATATAACCACTTTACCTTTACTCCATTTTAGGCTATCAATTTTTGTCCTGTGATTTCTTCTACTTTTAATTAATTTTGATGTTTACTATAAACTTTTGTTGTTGTTGTTTTGTTTTAAAGATTTATTTATTTATTGGAAAGTCAGATATATACAGAGAGGAGGAGAGACAGAGAGGAAGATCTTCCATCTGATGATTCACTCCCCAAGTGAGTGCAACAGCCGATGCTATGCCGATCCTAATCCAGGAGCCAGGAACCTCTTCTGGGCATCCCACACGGGTGCAGGGTCCCAAAGCCTTGGGCTGTCCTCGACTGCTTTCCCAAGCCACAAGCAGGGAGCTGGTTGGGAAGTGGAGCAGCTGGGATTAGAACCGGCACCCATATGGGATCCCGGCACGTTCAAGGCAAGGACTTTAGCCACTAGGCCACTCCAATGGGCCCTACTATAAACTTTTTAAACGTCTATGAGAATATTGAGGATTCATGCCTGAATCTATTGTCTTCTGGGCTCCAAGCTCTCCCTCCCCCACCCTGGTCCTGGCTAGCACCATTATTTACCCAAAACGTGGTCTTACCTAAGAGTTTTACATTTTCCTCCTTGAACAAGAGTAATATCAAAACATCTCAGAGCTCTGTCTCATGCTCTTAACAGATTTCAGACACTAAAATTCATCCTGATTCAAATTTGTATATATTTATGTAAAATGGATATATTTTTTCTAAAAAAAAAAAAATGGGGGTGGTGAGTGATTTTATAATAAGTGAATGTCTTCCTATTCTTTCTAAATTTTCTGTGATGAATGTATCTCACCTATCTAACTGGAGGGAAAACAAGGCAGGCTAAATATATAAAGAGAAGACAACTAAACAGCAGGCGTGAATCAACATCTAATGCACACGCCCTCAGCACTAGCCCCAGGGCACCCCAAGTGCCCACAAATCTGGACTGAGAGAAGGAGTCCTCGGATCCATCCTGCTGACTCAGCCTGTGACTCAGCCATTTCGTGCGTGTCAACAGCCCCAACGCAATGCAGACATCAGGGGGAGCCAGGGACCGTCCTCACCTTCGTCATAGCACAAAGGCCTGACGCCCACTGAAGCGTCATGAGTTGAGCTCCCCACACCTTACAGGGGAGTGGATAGCCCACAGAGCTCCAAAAATGCCTCCTCCTTCTGGCCCCAACCTCACACATCTGGACTCTGTTTCTCCAGAGGCAGCAAAGTCATCCAATTAAGTATTATAGTTATATCACAGCTCATCCCAGAATGAGCCACAGTGTCTCACCCAGGTGTAATTCTTCTAGATTGTGAATGAATAAGCAGCAGGATACTTCCTCTTACCTAGTTCCATAAGACCAAAAGCTACAGTTACTGATGCTGGGACAATATTCCAAGAATCCAGTTAAATTCACTAACTAGCCAGGAAGCCTTATTATTTGCAAGGCTGTGTGTCCAGTCCAGTAGGTAGACATGAGGCCAAGTGACTCCATGTCTTTCCTCAGTAGGCCTGGTGATCAGGGGCAGGGCACAACCAGCAGAGAGTACAATATAGGACGTGAACATGAACTTCCAGGGGGGACCACTGCTCACAGTGAATGCAGCAACCACAGAGATCACATGACTTGAAAAAGTAACAGTCAGACGTGACAGGTCACCCTGGCAAGACAACATATGGCATAAAGGTTGTGAAATTTCTATTTCAAGTCAAATGCAGTAAGTGCTTTCTAAGATGTGGACAAAAATATCGTTTGAAGACTGAGTCCCCCACTTTCTAACAGATGACAAACGAAACTGTGTTGGCAGATATTTTTCAAGGAACTGTGCTGTTTGGTTAATATGCCATACCTGAGTTTCCATCTTAAGATATTTAAAGCTGTGCAGAACTCCATAGTATGTATGTGCTTTTATCTACTTAACCAATCACTATCCCATGGGGATACAGGTTGCTTCCAATTGGTGGCCCTCATATTCAATGTTCCTAAGACCACTCTCAAAAATATGGTTTTATGGCACTACGGCTCAATAGGTTAATCCTCAGCCTGCTAGCACCAGTATCTCATATGGTCACCTATTCAGGTCCCAGCTGTTCCACTTCCAATCCAAAAGCAGCAGAGGATGGCTCAAGGCCTTGGGCCCCTGCACCCATGTAGGGGAATAAGAAGAAGCTCCTAGTTCCTGGATTTGGATTGCCACTGCTCTGGTTGTTGAAACCATTTGAGGGAGTGAACTAGCAGATAGAAGAATAAAATACATATTGTATTCTTTTATGGTTTTAATATAAGGATGAATTCCTACAAAGGAAGTTTTTAGGTAGGCGGTAATATATACTTTAAATGTTTATACTTATTGCCAAACTACCCTCAGGAAATTTCTACCAATTTACCTCATCAACAGTGCATAAAACTGCCATATCCCATGCTCTCATCAGCCCTAAAAAAATTTTAAGTATTTTGAACTCCGCATGTTTTATAGTGAAAATACAGCAACAACAACAAAAAAAAAGTACACATTAATTTGCTTTTTCCTTGCAATGGTAGGTTGAATGCCCATCTTTTAATAGCAGATGAAGCACATTACTTTATTTAAATCTAGATCCACACAGCCTTACTTAGTGGGTATGAACATAAATACAGACAGCTAAGAATGCTTGTCAACTTTAACAGTTGCCTTTCTGGGTGGTGGAAGGCTATGGGGTAATTTCATTCTTTTAAAGCTCTAATTTTCTTTTTTTTTTTGAAAAACACAGTTATTTTCATAAACAGAATCTTTTTAAAAATATATATACATATATACTTATTCATTTATTTGAAAGAGGGAGAGACACAAAGAGATAGAATCTTCCATCTGCTAGTTCATTCCTCACAGATGGTCACAATGACCAGAGATGGACCAGAACAAAGCCAGGAGCTTCAGCCACATTGTGACAGGGGCCCAAACACGAGTCATTTTCTTCTGCTTTTCTCAAGTCATTATCAGGGAAGTGGATTGGGAATGGAGCAGCCAGGATGCAAACCAGTGCCCAAACGTGATATTGGCACTAGAGGCAGCAATTTGACCTCTCATGTCACAATGCCAACCCCAAAAAGCATCTTTTTATAAATAGCCAAGAATAAAGTCACTTCCTGTTTTTAAGAACTTATTTAGGTGGCATGATATGTTTTGTGCCTAGGACAATTTTTGCAGAAGCATTTCTGCTCATAATAATAATGACATCAAATCCTGATAGTGTTAGTGACAGCACCAGGATAAAAAGGAACACTGGTGGATTTTCATTTGCTTCTTGGGTTTAAACTTGGGAACTCCCCACCCCATCACCATCTGGCTTTACCTATTGTTGAGTATTTTTCCTTACTTATCCCCATGTGCAGGGCTCTCTAGTGAGACACAGCACACAGTCCTGCCCTGGCTGTGCTGGTGGCCAAGAAGGCTCTCCTCAGCAGGAGATTCTAGAATCCCAAGATCAGATGATGGAAAGCGAGCATGCAGTAAGAGCCAAGGCACGCTGAAGGCTCCTGCTGTGCCAGGAACTGCTCTAAGTCCTCATGCCCACACTCTGAAACAGGTGTCACCCTAATGAAGACACCAAAACACAGACAGGTGCAGCACTGTGTCCCAGACCACACTGCTAGGACATGCAGAAGGTCTGTTTGAGACTCCTCACTGAGAGTCCAACTATCCTTTGGCTTTACCTTTGTAGCAGACACCCAGTGAAGAGTGTTTGTTCCTGGAGCGGCTGGAGGAGAACCACTACAACACCTACACATCCAAGAAGCATGCCGAGAAGAACTGGTTTGTGGGCATCAAGAAGAATGGAAGCTGCAAGCGTGGTCCTCGGACTCACTACGGCCAGAAAGCCATCTTGTTTCTCCCTCTGCCAGTCTCCTCTGACTAAAGAAATCCACCCCAGTTGCCACTCACTCCCAGAGGAGCCTCGTGGGAGTCACTCACCTGGTGGACCCCAAAATGTTCCCTTGACCTTTGGCTGCACTAACCCCTGGTCCACAGAGCCCAAGTATGCAAGCAATGCGCTTCTACTTCTACATGCCTGGTTCCTTTTTCAGCAGGGCCCTTTCCCCCCAGCACAGTTCAGAACAGAGGGACCAACTTGCCTCCAGGGGTCCAACCAGCTGACAGTCTGGGCTTAGGTGGAGCTGGGCAGTTTGGGTGATTCTAGCCCCTGATGCGAGTTGAGCTCCTCAGTGCAAGAGTAGGGGTCAAGTGTAAGGGAAAAAGGGGGTTAAGGCACCTGCTAAGAGAGCCATCACCAGTACATGCCATTTCCCTCTGGTGAGACAGCCCGTGAGTCCCTTTAACATCTGGCGTGACTTCCTTTCATGTTTCAGCGCCCCAATAATACAAGCAGAGAAGCTGAAGCTAGGACAGAGGTAATCAGTGTTCCAGGAGTACAAACAAGAACAGAAATGAAGAGACTGAAAGGGGAGATGGAAAGACTGCCTTTTGGTAGACAACTGAGAAAGACAAGATCTCAAGGTGGAAAGACTGAAGGGCGGGGAGAGGCCCAGCCACAGGGAAGCAGAATTGTTCCCCAGCCTTGGGAGTCATCACTCCCGCCTTGATCTCCCCAAGGTCAGTCAGCAAACAGCAGGAAGCCCCTAGATGATGCCAGGTGATGGAGAGCATGACAAATCGTTGTGGATCAAAGCAAGGATGTCAGATGCTGGGAAATTCAGCTGGGTCTGGGGAGTGCAAATGGCAGTGATGAGAAAGAAAGGAAATGTTGGCTGAGAGGATGCTAGCCACTACGGGGGTGTGGAGGGGGTGGTTTTAGAAGGGAGGAAAAGGAGAGAAAGAGCCACCACGAGTTGTGCTTGGCCACCAGGAGGCAGATGCTGACCCAGCAGGGCTGGGTGGAGCTGCTACGCTTCCACCAGGCCCCAAGAATGTGATCCCAAGCCAGCTCAAATCCCCAAACCGCATCTCACCCTTAAAATCACCCCCTCCCCAGTGAAGATCCCTGGGCAGGCAAGAGGCATGGACAGAGGGGCTACCTGTGCCAGGGCTGGTTTTAAGGCACTCTGGCCCAGTTGCTATAAAACATCCATTCAGAAGATACACAATAGCATAGTTCAAAAATGTTAAGCCCTCACAACAGCTTTCCCCAAGAGCCCATTTGTGTTGCCATTACTTGTATAAATGTGCTTCCTGCTTAAAGTAAACTTGACCCAAGTGGCTAGCAAATTAGAAACACCATTCATCTCTGACATATGATGCCAAGGCCATGTAAAGGCCTTTAATAAGCTATTTAAATTTGCTGTAAGGCTCTCTATGTTTTAATCACATTTAAAAATATATAGCTTGAAGGCAGTTAAACCGATTAGCATTCAGCCACTGAGAATAATAATAATATGAAGTAGAAGCTACTCAGTTATCTAATGCTTACACTACATGTACGTATAAGAGGAAATCTTTCTGCTTTCCACTGTTTTCACAAATTTTCTTTAGAGAAGGAGGACTCATCAGCATGAGAGTGTTAGTTTTTGTTTTACAAGGGCCGGAAGTAGTTATGAATTGGAAAAGAATTACCTGATAACCAAGCTGTCCTACTGAAAATGGAAGAGAAATGACACTTTGTGAAAGTTGAAAGTGAGAAGATGATCAAAGAACCAAACTAAGGAAGGTGACAATGTGGTTAACAGCAGCCACCTGCCTGTTCAGAAAAGTGTTTCTGGAACTTGGAAAGCAAGATTTGATTTTGTTTTGGGAAATCTTTGCAGACAGGTTGGAAGGCAGGGGCACACACAGCACCTTAACATCTTAATATGAAGATTTGGCCAGTAAATAGTACGCAGGGAGGAACTCTAAGACATTTATCATAGCCTATAGATTATGTTGTAGGAATCAAATTCAAGTATAACATGGGCCAAGGGCAATTAAGTACCATCACCAACCCATGAAACCACAGCCTGTGATTTCATAGGCCCAAAGCCCTGCAGGAGGAGGACCGTTAGGACCCTGACAGTCTTGACTGGGTCACTGTTCGTATATTTTATTCAATGCATATAATGCCTACTGTGTGCCAGGCACTGTACTGGGTCCCGGGCCCTGAGGACTCTGGCAAACTTGCTGCTGTGTCCTCTACCCAGGTATTTGTTTTGTGACAATGAAGAGGCTGTGGTTTCATTGCTTGAAGACAAATAAAAATCATATAGACTTTGTAGGTTTCTTCTGAGAAAAACAGCAAGTCCTAGGAAGAACTGGGAGTGTCTGAGGGCAAGGCCAGACTTCAGAACAGTGTCAAGTTCAGGGGCACTGCTTTGAAATCAGGAACAGAGCCTACCAGATAGCATGGGTCACAGCAGTTCTTGTTCTGTAATGCTCCCTTCAGCTGATTCCAAGTCTGGTAGCCAGTGGCCTGCTAGATGCCTCACATGGGAACGAGTTTCCATGGCCACTGTCAGGAGTCGGTGTCACCTGACACCGTGCACAGCATCACAGCAGGTGTGCTCTGGATGCTTACAACATGGTAGCAATGGAGGTGGTGACCTGCTTACACGAACAGGATGGATGTTAAGGTATCTGGAAGCCAACAGTGCAAACATGCAAAAAGCTGTGTGGACCTCACGCCTTCTGAGGAACAAGTTCCTGGCTTCATGACAGAGACCACACCCTCAACCACGTGGAACACAGTGCCTAAAGCCACCAGGTTGCCAGCTGCAAAACACCCTGGAGAAAGACCATGTGGGTCTCTCATCCCAGTCTCCCTGTGTCACAGCACCTTACAAATGTTAATAAATGTTCCCTGATTAGCGACACCGTCTCTGAGTGTCAGGGCATCACAGTGTCTCCTCTGTTTCTCAAAGGTCCCCCAGCACCCTCAGGGGCTTACTGCTTGGTTCCCTGCACTGCCACTAGAATCAGTTATAAGACAGACGACTGTGAACAGCTAAGGGAGGTGGGGTTTCCATTTTGTTTGGAAACATGAGACAGTGCAGGTGGTCTGCTAGGTTTCTGTTGGTGGGACATAATGCAGAAAATGTGCCCTCTGCGAAGCTAGGCAGCATGGGCAAGTCTGGTGAAGTTTTCCACCATCATCCCCATCATACCACACACACAGCCTAAGCTATGCAAAATGACACTGCTACTGTGGGCTGGCCAACTGATAGTCAGGCAAGTATATTTCAGCCAGAAAGTAGTACTCCAGGGCTTGTTTACACGTTGAGGTCCATGTCAGTAATGTATATCTCTCTATCTCAGAACCCTGGGCCGGTGTGGGACTGCAGATTCCCCAATGTGATTTCCTGAATGATCACACCAAGCAGCGTTTTCCCAAAGGAATCTCTGAACCTTTTCTTGTTTGAAGATTTGTTTATTTTTATTGGAAAGACAGATTTACAGAAAGAAGAAGAGACAGAGAGAAAGATTTTCCGTCCACTAGTTCACTTTAGGATGTGAAGCTAGATGTGAAGTAGAACAACCAGGACACGAACCAGTGCCCATGTAAGATCCCATAATGTGGGGACTTAACCACTGAGCCAATGCTCCGGACCCAAATCTTGAAACTCCCCATTGGTACTGTCGCCAACATACCACAGCAGAATCAGATTTCTCTCCCCTCCCCTTACACACACATATGTACCACCAATGAAAATGCTGGACATTGGGTGCTTGCTCTCTGCTAATTACATGACACAATCAAGCCCTCCTTTTCCTTCTCAAGCAGAACTTTCAATGTTCTGGAGTTTGATCCACATTAATAACAATGGTTTTCATTGCAATCCAGCACATATATACCTTTTCACATACACAGCATGGCCCTTCTATTACATCTGGTCACACATCTGTTAAACTGGGTCCCCACATGAAGAAGTTATAACCAAAGTTTGAAAGCTTCTGCCTTGAAGTAACTGTCCTCCTTCCCAAAGATGACAAGACCCAATTAGGACCCTGTGCTGTGACTTCAGTGTCTTTAGTGACACAGTTTGCTCTTAAGTAAACAAGACCAGGGGACATTCTGTAACCCAGGAACCATCTGTTCTGAAGGCTCTATGAATTCTTTCAGCCAGATTTGCTACTAATCATGCAAAATGAATGTGCTGATGTGGACTCCACAGCACCCACCTCTGCCTCCCACTGACGCTGGCCTGGGCAGATTTCCGCTCTCAGCAGCCTGGGAGACACACAAACCGCCCCCTTCCTTTGAAATTCCCATCACTAGAGGGCTTGAGATCATTGCTTCTCTGACTCCCACAGTCTTCCTTTCAGCCTAGTGTCTTGCCACCTCCCCAAATTCCAATTTCATAATCACTTCTAAGAAAGACACAAATAATTAGGTAAGCCAGGAAGAGATTGCAAACCCAAGGCTACTGAGCAGCTTCCCCAGCCTCCATCACTTTCTGGAAGTTACTGTAACCTCTTATCTACCTTTTTAAAAAAGTTTACCACCATGACTCAGTCATAAGATAAATTCCAATACTGCTGGGATGTGAGATTATACCAGGATTTAAAATTCCCATCTTTGCTGAATCAACTAAAAAAACAGTATGCCGTAAATGTTAGAGGGGTCTGGCACAGCTGACAGTGGATCTTTTATGGGTGAACTTGACCAAAGAGAGAAATATAAAAGTGATAAAGTCACTTTGCATATTTATCTGAGTGATGTCCTGTTTGGGTGGGAACAGGAGGGAGATCTCAAATCCTCAGTGCTTTAAGGTTGTCTATGTTAGCTGGGTTGTCTATGTTAGCTGGGTGTGACAAAAGCGGTACACCAAAGCAAAAAAAAAAACCAAAAAAACAAAACTGTAGTTGCTGGGATTGACAAGAGGAGCAGTGATGACAATGCAGGAACAGACCTGCCCAGCCGAGCACTGGGACTTACACAGCATGTTCTTCATGTCAGCATCACCAGCACTGGGATGTTAGATGATTGCTAAGACTGAAATAATGGCACTGTTCCTTCTGATGCCACTCCTAAAACAGATCTTCCACCATCAAAAGAAATGCCTTTTGCCATTGTTCATAGATTTCATTCTAAAACCCATCACAGGACTCACAGTGTGTGAGGCTTGGGGAGTTGACATCAGATGCGCCAGACCTCGACGGTTCCAGAACATTCTCTCAGGTTGGTTACCAGGGAAACGCTCTACATGACTACTGGACTCTTTCTGTAACACTGGGCCCACTTGCAGTTGACATATTGACCATGACATGCCTCACTATTAGCTTTCCACCCCAGTTATAAAACTGAAAAGAGAAATGAGGCCACACGCAGCTTAAAGCCAGAGGGTGGGTTTGCTGTATAGAATGCACGTATTGTAGGACCTAGTTTGGGGAGCTTCTAGATGGAGCTGAGAACATTTGTGACGTAGGGAGCGGATATTTCCCAAATTGCTTCCTTCCTTTTTCTGCTCCCCATTGTTACACAGGTTAAATCTCCATGTTCAGAAGCTAAACATCGATGTCTGAATACATAAACCAGGAAAACCTCACCATGGCCTGCAGCCTTAGTGAAGAGCTGAGCACTCCTTATCTGGCACTACGTTCAGCTGAAGGTCCCGGCTTACTTGGCCCTGAAGTTTGAGAACCTAGCCATAGACAGGCAATTTGTGCAAATCATCACAGAACTATAATTCACTGTGATTCCCACATTTCAACCTTTCCTGTCTTAGGAAGCAATTTCTTTTTGTCTGACCCAGAGATACCTAAGAACAAAACGCCAGATTGTTTTTGCTGATATGTCCAAGTCAAAACACATTATTCTCCAAAGTAAATTAGAGGAATGTTGCTACACACTCCCTTGTTTTGTGTGAATCGGATCAACAGGACTGTTTGGAGCTTGGGAATATCAACTGTGTTTTAAGTTCAGTAATTTCCTGGGGAAATGAACAGTAAAATCGTTGGCGCCCTTGAAACAGGAGACTTACATTGGAAGCAGTGCTGCTGCCCTGGGAAATGGCATGAGGCTTCCAAGGAGCCGTTTCTGATCAACCAGAATGAATGAATGTGCAGAAGAGGGAAATGAGAGGAAAACACTGTTGTGGGTGGCTGGTGCTGGGGCATCTGTCAGAACGGACTGAACGAAGGCCTGCCAGAGCAGTGGTTTTTCACTGCACAGCTCCTAAGAATCTCGAACATCTGGGAGGAGTCTAGGGCAACAGAAGGCTAACCAGCCCAGGAACATACTGCTGCTGCTGCTGCAACCAGCTGAAAACAAAGGATCTTTCCTCAGTTCCCTCCCTTCTCGGTCATTTCTTGTTAACTACATGAGTCAGGGTCCAGTCAGGACATGAAAGTCACATCAAGAATTAGAACAAGGATTTTTTTTTAAAGATTTATTATTTATTTTTACAGCAGAACAACAGAGGGAGACAGAGAGACAGGAAGTGATAGAGAGAAGAGAATGATTTTCCAGCCACTGATTCACTCACCAAATGGTCACAGCAGCTAGGGCTGGGCTGAAGCCAGAACCAGGAAGTCCACCTGGTAGTCCACGTGGGCTGCAGGACTTGCCAAGCACATTAACAGGACATCAAATGGGAACTAGAGTGGCAGGGACTTAGACCTTTAGAGATTTGAGTTAAGTAACAGCTTAACCACCTGCACTACATCATTAGCCCCTGAGCAGACAGTTTTGAATGCAAAGAATTATTAACTAAAAATAACAGATGGAGGGACAGTGCTACCTCCAAGACTGAGGATGGCATTCGAGGAAGGGGCAAATTTGGAAGAGACTGTCCATCTGAGGACACCAGTTTGGCCTTATTGGAAAAGATGTGGCTGTGGCCCATGGGTCTGTGAAACATTTCACTGAGTGGCTGCTGAAAGCATCCTGTATGGAACGTGGTTAGACGCCTGTAGCAGCTTCATGCACCACCAGGGCCACTGGGCCATGGCAGTGAGAAGCCCCTTCTGGGCCCAGGGCAAGGGCTCCTTTAGCTAATCCTTCCCCCATCGTAAGCGTCAGGATTCCATATAGCATCTGTTCGTGTCCCAGTTGTTCCACTTCCCATCAGCTCAACTCTGCCCAGTGCAGCCATTTAAGGAGTGAACCAGAGGATTTCAGATCTCTATCTTCTCTATCTCTCTGTCTTCTCCTCTCTGTGAATTTGCCTTTCCAATAAAAATAAATCATTAATAAAAAAAAAAAGAAAGAGCCCTTTCCTTCGACACTGCCACCTCTAGCACCCTCTATTGACAACCCTTAACTGCATTAGCTGGCATAGAATAACGTTCATAGGGTCCAGTTCTAGTGTCCCATTGAAAACCAAGA